TATATATATATATATATACAGGGTCTACCAAAAGTGTGGAAACCCCTAAATATCTCGGAAAATATACGTTTTACAGAAAAGTGTTTCCAACAAAAGTTGTAGGGTTTAGGAAGATCTATATACTGATTCTATCAGTTTGACCTTGGATGGCGTCGTCAAGGTCAGGTCAAGGTCACATTGACTTTTTTAAATGACACCCCCTACATTTGATTGCATATTCTTATAGCTTAATTCAAGAGCTTTCCAAAACACTATAATAATGTTCATTTTTATTAAGTACTTTGCGAGTTATGAGGGTTGAATGATAGAGTAGCGCCGGTATTAACATTATCCAAGGTGTACTACATGGAGGTTACTCGCTCGGATTTGCATCTGTTGTGTGTGTGATCCAGCTAACTAAGGCAAGATCGGTCGTAGATCCAGTCAGCAAAAGCAAAGACCCAACCAAATTACAATCGAGCATTTAAAGACCTGGAAAGCAATCGACATAGTAAACAGTAAATAAATTTGTGGATGCTCATTTATCATAATAATTGTTCGAAATGTGTGCGTGTGCGTGCGTGCGGTGCGTGTATACAGAGATCAGGTTAGGTTGCACCAAACGATTGCAAATGTGTTTCAATGTGTTAAAGTAAATGCTGAAAGTGGCTGCCATTTACTTCCTGACAATATGCTAATCTTTGGTAGAATGTAGAAATGACTTTACGATTCGTTTCAAAAGGTATCAAAGCCATTTCATCCCTTATTCGTTGTATCAATTCGTGAATGGTTTTAGGTTTTGTTCTGTAAACCTTACTCTTCAGATATCCCCATAGATAATAATCAAGAGGAGTTAGATCTGATGACCGAGGTGGCCAATCCTCTCCTCCCTCATTTCCGTTCCTTCTTCCTATCCACCGTAGCGGAAAAGTCTCATTTAAAATACGACGTGGTCCTGCACCAAAATGAGCAGGAGCTCCATCATGCTGAAACCATATTTCTTGGAAATTATTTGGAAAAGTATTCTGTATGGCTGGAATTATTTGATCAACAAGTAATCTCTCATACCTTTGAGCGTTCAAATATTCTTCAAAAAAAAACGGCCCTATTAAATAGCCATCTATTATTCCGCACCATACATTTATTTTTTGTGGATGTTGTGTGTGAGTTTCCCGCACCCAATTCGGATTCTCATCTGACCAGAAACGAAAATTTTGATTATTAACTTCTCCCGTTAAGGTAAAAGTTGCCTCGTCTGTGAAAACAATTTGATAAGGGAAGATGGGCCGGACATCTATTAGTGCCATCATTCTTTCACAGAAATGTATACGACGCTCCTCATCTCCGTTTTGCAATTCTTGAACGTATTGCAATTTATATGGATGGAACTTGTTCTTCTTTAAAATTCTCCAAACCGACATGGGAGCAATATCGTGAGTTTGAGCGACTCTCTGAACACTAGAATTGGGATCTTCAATAAATGTCTGCAGAACATCAAGTTGTTTTTCTTCGTTGGTTGCAGACAATGGTCTTCCTGACTTAGAGCGATTTCTTACGCTACCAGTTTGTCTAAAACGTTCTATTGTTTTTAACACAGTGGACTTATTAATTCGACGGTTCGGATACGTGTCATTAAATAATCGAACGACATCAGAGAACGATCTTTCGTTATCACCCCATCCACGCATCATGAGGATAGTGATTCTTTCACGTTCTGACAAGTCGCCAGCCATTTTTAAAACGTTTAATTTTAATTAATCGTACGTTGTATTTGGACGATAACAATTAATTTCTGCTTGCTCAAAGCTGAAGTTAGAAGGTGCTCGTTCTTTGATAGCTTTATACATTCTTAGTTGAATTTTAAATGCGAGTTAGACTGCATGTAGTGCGTCACATAGCGGTAAATGAAGGAACTAACGAGACGTTTCATACACGTTTTATGGAGCAATTTTTTGGCAATTTGACTTCAGCGAAATATGAGGATATGTTGAGGAATCGATCTTGCCTTAGTTAGCTGGATCACACACACAACAGATGCAAATCCGAGCGAGTAACCTCCATGTAGTACACCTTGGATAATGTTAATACCGGCGCTACTCTATCATTCAACCCTCATAACTCGCAAAGTACTTAATAAAAATGAACATTATTATAGTGTTTTGGAAAGCTCTTGAATTAAGCTATAAGAATATGCAATCAAATGTAGGGGGTGTCATTTAAAAAAGTCAATGTGACCTTGACCTGACCTTGACGACGCCATCCAAGGTCAAACTGATAGAATCAGTATATAGATCTTCCTAAACCCTACAACTTTTGTTGGAAACACTTTTCTGTAAAACGTATATTTTCCGAGATATTTAGGGGTTTCCACACTTTTGGTAGACCCTGTATATATACAGGGTGATTCAAAATAACCCCTGTGTCCCTGAAATGACACATTGTTGAGTCAATTCTAAGACGATTCTTCCTTTTGCAAAATTTCGTCCGAAGCTTAGTTTTCGAATTATTAAATAAAGTAATTAACGCATGACGGGTCGGATACAAGAAGCAGGCAAAGGTGATGCGATTCACCGTCAGACGCGGGCGCTTACGCGGAGCGCCTGCTGCGATCAACTGGTCGCTATACACATACAGACACATTTTTTTTGATACGCAAGGGAAATCCTCATGGATACCCTCCCTCCCTGGGGAGGAAGAGAGGGTTATGCCGAACTCCTACCGGCTAAAACCCCTGCGGGTGTCCTCCACCGCGGTGTCACGGGGGAGCCACGGGCACGCCACAGGCATTCTTCCGCGACTCCCCCACCGCAATCCCTCGTTGTAGCCGAGAGGGAGGACATCCGTCCGCCTCCCGGCTCCGTCTAATGGGGTTCTGTCCCGGTGGGAGATCTCCCCGCTTCACACGGGGCTCTCTCGCCACGGCTCCTGAACGGGGCCTCTTCCTATGCCGAGTGGGGGGAGGGAGGGGAGGCCACCAGGTAGGCCATCAGGCCCTGCCAGCCCCAGAACCTCCCTTTAGCCCTCATCTATCCACCTAGCCTGCAGTGAAGGGGGGATGGGCCCCCAGCAGGGCCCTCTCCACTCAATCAGTCCCGCGCTGGGGCCTAGGGCCTAGGCACGGGTCGCCTTCTCCTCCCTCGCCACATCCTCCGGGTCGCGACATCCTGCGCTTCCGGGGGCGGCATCCGTCGACAATCCTTTTCCTCTTCCTCCTTGGTCCTCATGACCTTCTCGCAAAAGGAGGCCACCGCTTTCCACTGCTCTTCCCCCTGCACCATGGCCCGCATCACGGCGCGGAGGGAGAGATCTTCCCCCACCACCGCGGCTAGGAAACGGCGCTGCACCTCCCAGGCCGGACAGGCCTCGAGAGTGTGCTGCGCCGTGTCCCGGTCTCTCCTGCAGTGGTGGCACCCGGGGGTCGCCTCCCTCCCGATGCGGCATAGGTAGTAACCGAAGCAACCATGCCCAATCACCACCTGCGCCACCCGGAAGGTGATGCGCCCCCAAGTCCTCCCTAGCCACTCCCTGAAAACAGGGAGAACGGCCTTCACTACTCTTTGGCCCTCGTGGGCCGGCCCGGCTAATTGCCGCTGTCAGTCCACGAAGATCAATTCCGCCGCATGACGGCCAATGGCCTTCTTGGCCCCCGGCCTCACGATAGTTCCCCCCCCCCCACGGAGCTCCCTTACCCTCCAATATGCGGCCGACTGGCCACGCGCCAAGAGCTCCAGGGGGGGGGAACCCGCCAGGATTGTCGCCGCCGCATACGCGACAGTGCGGTATGCGCGCGCGGCCCTCAATACAATAGGGCGGTGTGCCCCCCGTAGCACACCCCTGATCCTTCTGGACCCCGAGGCCGCATCCGCCCAGATCGGAGCCCCGTAAAGGGTCACCGATCCGACCGTGCCCACATATAACTTGCGGACACGGTCGTCCGGCCCCCCCAGGTTGGGTAGCAGCCTCGCCAGTGAGGCCGCCACTCCACCCATCTTGGGGGCCAGCTGGGCAAAATGCTCCTCGAAGGTCCACATGCCATCCAGGTGGAGACCCAGATATTTCATCCGGGTCCCCACCCGGACGTCATGGCCGTCCACCCTAAATGAGACCCTGGGGGGGGGGCGGGTGGCGTCATGGAAGAAGATGGCCTCGGTCTTCCGGGGGGCCACCTCCAGGCTCAGTGCCTTTATGCCGCGAACTACCCCAGCCACCGCAATGTTGTCAACCGCAACCGCGTCCCTTCAGTTCTTCCTCCCGACTACCACCAACGTGTCATCTGCATAGCAGATAACTTGGCAGCCGGGGGGAAGTATCCTCCCCAGTACCTCATCGTACGCATGTCCCACAGCAACGGACCCAAGACGGTCCCCTGCGAGACACCGCGCACGATGGGCCTCCGTCTGCGCACTCCCCGGCATCGCGTTAGGTAATGCACCTCCCCTTGAAATAGTCCCGGATTACCCTGGTTAGGTAATTCGGGACCCCGTGCGATCGCAGCCCCTCTCCTATCTTGTCCCACGGGAGGTGTTGAACGCGCTGGCTATGTCCAACGACACAGCCAATGCCACCGCCCCGTGTTGGACTATCTGTTCCGAGCAGACCCGCAGACAGTCGATCGCGTCGATTGTCGACCGGCCCGCCCGGAAGCCAAATTGGCGCTCATTGAGCCCTGCTACTCGCTGCAGATGCTCGTTGAGACGCCTCATCAGCACGCGTCCCATCAGTTTACCGACCTCGTCCAACAGACAGAGAGGTCGGTAAGCCGATGGATCGTCGGGGTCCCTCCCTCCCTTCGGGAGGAGGACTAATCTCGCCTCCTTCCAGAGGGAGGGGAAGACCCCCTTCTTGAGGCACCTCGTGAAGAGGGACCCGCCAGCTTCACACACGACCAGGGACCCGCCAGCTTCACACACGACCAGGGCCCAGATCTTGCCCGGGATGCCGTCTGGACCAGGAGTCTTATTCGGCTTCATCCTCCGGACGGCCTCCTCCATCTCCTCCGCTGTCACCTCCCAGCCCTTCCTTCACTCGGGCATACGGCTCGAGATGGAGAAAGGCACTGCACTCGCGGCTCTCCCGGGGAAGAGAGTCTCAACCACCTCCCCGAGGAAGTCGGGGGGCAGGGTCTCCATGGTCGGAGGCACCCACGGCCTCAATTTCCTGAGCACCATCCTGTACGGGCGCTCCCACGGGTCCTCGTTCAGGGAGGCGAGTAGTTCCTCCCAAGCCCTCTTAGACCTCCCGATGGCAGCGCCAAGGGAGTGCCGGGCATCCCGACACTCCTCCTGCGCCCGCTCAATACACGCCTCACTACGGTCCCTCCTTCTCAGACACCTTTGAAGTCGGCGCCTGGCCCGGACCGAGGCATCGCGGAGTTGCGCAATCTCCTCTGTCCACCAGTACGCCGACCTCCTCCCACATCCTCCTGGCCCTTGGCATCGAGGCGTCGCAGGCTCCCCAGAGAGCACTGCGAAGCCTCGACGCCAACTCCTCCACACTCTTTCCTTCCCACGCCAGGAGGTCCTCCCCCAGACCCATAGCAAGGCCTGCATCGAGGCCATCAGAAGATCCAGGTTTAGTTTGGTGAGAGACCACCTGCGCTCCTCTCGCATGTCCGGCCCAGTTGGTGGACGTTGGACGACCAAGCTGAGCTCAATATACCTGTGGTCAGAAAGGGTCTCGAGCTCAGCGGCCACCCTCCACCCTCTCATCATGCGCAAAGCCGCAGGGGAGGCCCATGTCAAATCGACAATGGACTCCCCCTGTGGCCTCACGCATGTGGCAACAGACCCAATATTGAGCAGGGTCAATTCAAGTGACCCTGCCCAGTCTCGTAGCGCCTCCCCGCGCCGATCCTCGGACGGGCAACCCCAACTCCGAGATTTGGAGTTGAAGTCGCTCATCACGAGGACCGGCCCGGGGAGGCCGCTCCTCACCGCCTCCTCTACCTCGCCGAGCTTGGCCTCAAACTGGGCCAGGCTCAGCGAGGGAGGGAGGTATACTCCTATAACGCAGGTAGTCCCCCACCATACCATGACGAAGTCCACCTTTCGTCGCTCCCCCGCACGATGGCCACCAGAAGGGGGGCGGCCCTCCCCCGGAAACCAAGACGGGTGATCGGGAGGGGCCGCGTACGTCTTCGCGATCACGCCCAACCCACAACCACGCTCCGCCATTGTGTGCAAAAATAAATCCTGCGCACGGCAGGCGTGGTTGAGGTTGGGCTGAATAATTAGAGGCGCTGGCTTACCTCTAACTATCCGTAAATTTCTCGTCTCGTTGAGTGAATAAATAAATGTGATTACGTTAAAGTTTATAAAAGAATGCAGTTCATGAAAGAAGAAAAACTTTTAATAATTTAGTGTGGATTTCTGTCTTGTGCAACGTGATATCTACGTTAAATTTGAGAACATACGATCTATCGGAAAATTTATTTCTCCTTCAAGTAATTACAGCAATACATCAGAAGTCATCGAACAAAGTAATAATAACTATTTTTTGACGTTATGTGAAAACGGATCTCGGGAAGGACAGAGGGACAGTGTGTTAAAGAAAATTCGTGAAAAGAGAGGGGTTTTTAGTAGGTAGGGAGCACCGAGTTGGTAATTCGACTTGGTACTCGAGTCCCACATAACTCACTGAATCGACCGGGGGGTATGCATAAAATGCATTTTCCCCTCTCGTAGAAAAAAAAAAAAAAATATTTTCGAACTGTGTTTTCATACTATAGTTCTACCTACATGGTATTAATAAAATCTATATTCTCTTTCTAATTTCTTTTATTAATAACTTTTTAACGAACAACGAGCGATGGCTAAAACCTTTTGGATGTTACTTAGGGCATACTTTTCCATGTAAAGAGAGATTTCACATGGGTTTGCAACGGGATGGGGTGGGGGTGTGCAGTCTGTGCGTCTACTTTGCAACGCAAACTGGGACTTCACATGGGTTTATAAAACTGTGGGCAACTCAATCATACCTTATGTGAATATTTAAATTATTTTTCTATATAATAGCTAAAATAGTAGGTTTATGAAAAAAATGCATATAATCTTTTCTGTAGAGTTTTTTAGCGGCTTTATTTTTTGCTTAAAAATTTTTTTCTCAAATCAGTATTTTCGGAGATAAAAAGCATTAAAGTTGTGAAATTCTTTTGTTAATAACTTTTTAACGAACAACGAGCGACGGCTAAAACCTTTTGGATGTTACTCAGGGCAGTGACCTTGACAACATATGTCAAGGTCGAGGCAATCGAGGCGGGCTCCCTTCATCAGTATATTTACCCAATTTTCTTTTGATGAAATTAATATTCCATGTTTCAAGTGAATTATTCTCCTTTTTTATATAATGAATATCAAATAAGGATGACGAACATGGTTTTAAATAAAAGCTATCTTGCTTACTATACCTGTATCCTTTTAAACATACTGTTTTCACAAGAAGCGATATTCTTAATTTCAATAATTAAATTATTTTTTAATTCTACAAATCTGTCGCCTATTTTTAAAATATCTAAGCAATAATGATTTATTTGTGCTTGCCTATAGTGTGGAGATGTACAATTAGTTATTAAAGGTCCATTGAAATGTTCTATTCGTAATTTTACAGAATCATTATTTATAATATTAATAAATTCAGTATTATTGCCTTCTTCAATTACGCGACGTATAACTTGTTGTAAAGGCTGAGCAGATTTGCGAACTTTTTTTTTTAAATACTGCATGAAATTTTCAAAAGGAAAGGCACTAAAATTGTCAAGCGAACCATATAATTTTACGCAGTCACTTAAATGCAAAAAGTTATGTATATTATGTGATACAAAATCTGGACCGTAAATTTTAATAGATTGGGAAACAAAATGTTTCATCAAATTATGAGCATATGATACATAATTTTCTATTTTTGAGTTACACCGACTAATCATTATAGAACTTGCAAGACTTAATGTAATAAAATGATTATAGATTTTGGACGATAAAACGTCTTTTAAAACAATAGGACCAGTGTATAGCAAAAATAATCTAAATTCTGTAGCTTTATATCTTTTACATTCAAGTATAGAACGCGTTTTTCTAGAAAATTCACGAGGAATGTATCGTTTTAATCTTAAAAGATTTTCGGAAATGTTATTAATATCACGAAATCGTAATTTATGAGGTGATTTGCCATGAATCCAACCATATCGTTCGTGACAAATTAGTCTTTTCATACCACCAAGTAAAATATTATGCATGTAATCTATTGGTACGTTGTCTATTCTATCTTAAAAAGTGCATGTTAAGTCGATAAATCGAATATATCGAAATGTTGAAGCCTCCTTTTCTGCGATGCTGATTGGATGCTGGTGCGTTCCAATATATTCGCGGTTAGGTTGTGACCGGACAACGGAGAGATTTGACCTGAGAGTCCCGATAACGATCGGATAACAGGGTTCGGATCCTACCTTTGGTATAATCCACACGGTCGCCAGTTCGTTTATATCCTCCTACGAACAAGGGTGATGAGGAAATCCCGGATATCACGTCCAGAATCCTCGCTGAGATGCGTCGGTGCACGCTGGATCCTCGGATTGATAACCACTGCGGGTCACGGTCACGCCACTACGCATTCACTCTTTGTTAGGCAGTGGAAAAACCCAGTTGCCTCACTCTACTGCGCGCTGACGCGCTACGGCCTTTGTATACGGCCGCGGCGTAACTCTACGCGGTGTCACGTTACACGTCGGCGCTCGCGCTCGACACGTGATCCGTTGTTCCGTACGCTACGCACTTCGCTCGCGCGCGATTTTTTCTTATCACGCACCTTAGCTACGCACGATTTAATCACCTCTGCTTCTGTTGTTTCAGGTTCTCGAGGACGACGCCGGACTACCTCGCGAAGCCGCTAATGATGACCACCAGGATGTCGGATGCCCTTGACAAGGAACCGCAAAGAGCTGAGAGGCGAATTAATTTTTTCCAGCACAGGAACGCCAGGATAATTATTCCCACGGGATCGCAGGAACGAGGAATGAAAAACTTCACTTTGGAAATTATTTCAATTTTTGAAAAATATTTATTAAAATAAATATTATATTTATACACATATTTATTAAAATAAATATTATATTTCACATTCGCATGTAATATTTAACCGACGTACGCACAATACGCTATATGACGGCTTGCGGGTTTTACGTCGCTTTACTCGCGAAATTAAGATTAATAACACAAGACTATATATACTGCTAATTAGCGAATACGCGATCCGGCTAAATTAATGCGCAGGAATACAGATACACGACGGACTTTACTTTCGCCTTGGTTGTTTGCTAGCCGAGAGCTATCCAGGGAAAGAGCAGGGATGCCAGTTTTGGTCCGCCGCACGCTACGCACACAAAGAAGAAACTGTGTACGTGTGGCGCTCGGCGCTCGGCAAACTTCGGGCAGTAGAAGAGTGCAGACATACTCTCTACTGTCTCCTTCCCTCTCGAGCTATAGCTATATCTATAGATAACGCCTCGAGAATCGTTTGTTAGCGGCATGATAAAAGAATGCACATACTGTCTATTGTCTCTTTCCCTCTCGAGCTATGCTATAGTTAACGCCTCGAGAATCGTTTAACGGCTCGATCCGTTTATCAGATTTCGCGTCTCGTGTAAGAGCACACAAAATTTACACATAAATAATTAAATAAATATTTTAATCATATAAAAATAATTTAATCATATAAATATATTTTAATCATATAAAAATAATAATCAAATAAACCTTCTAATACTGTAAAAATTTAAATAAATTAATTAAATAAATCTTTTGTTTATAATTTATTCAGTATATAAAAAATGTAAACTAATTTGAAAAATAAAGGACAAAAAGGGAATATAAATGATAAAAACGAATATTAAAGATGTAAACAAATTTAACAAATAAAGGACAGAAGGAAAGAGAATGTAAACGATGAAAATCCACTTTCGGCCAATATGTACGTTTTTCCTTCAAAAAATCATGCATGGTAATAATATTCTCTAACGAATAATATTCTA